ACAACATGTGTACAAAATATAGGATAAATAAATTTTGAAGTTTTTATCAGAAAAAGTTCTTAAAAATTTGATTTGTTCGGCCTTCTAACTGTATTTAACCCCTTAATAGAACACTAATAATTATAAATAAAAAAACACAAAAACAAAGCAAAGAATAACACTATAGCTGGTTTTCCCGACTATTAGATACCCGTTACTAAAAGCCAGATTCCAGTGGCGCATTAAAACGCATTTGGCCTAATGCGCATTTCTTTACACATGGAATCCCATAGGGCCAAATGCGATTAAAACTCATTCCCCGAATAGTTTTATAAAAAATACCGGAAAATACTGATTCTTAACGATATTTTGTTGGTGCCACCACTATAACAGCTGGATTTTTATGCATGTCTGGCCCCATTTTTGACTTCTTTTGAATATAAAATCTATTTGCATAAAAATGACTGAAAACTATAACAAGGGCAGCAAATCCTGCTTGCAGGTCCAAAATACATTACTGCTGCATCTCTGGCGTGAAAAACTCCCACATATACGGATATTCTTACAGTTTTTTAGAAACTGTGGTGGTCGCATTGCAAGCCCGTCAAGCAATACCCTCAGCTCCCCTTCCTTGTCGTCCAAGTTGGCAAATGCCTCGGTAGCATTATGGATCTCCTGGTGGTCATAAAAGATATCCCTAAACACGCTTATATTCGTGGTTTTTAATTTATTTCGTTTTAGTTTGCGACGGTTCAAAATTAAACAAATCCAGATCAGCTGGTCGTGTCACTCACATGTCGGAGTAGCATTAGTTAAAAGTTAATGCGCCAAAGAAATCAGGCACATTTTAAAAGTCCACTAATGAGGCATGGAATTCAGGCTTTTAGCTAACAACCTTTTAAACTAAATATTCCCCACACAACAATCGGGGTTTGGGTGGCGCCATCTGTCGCATCGCCAAAACTAGAAGCTAAGTGCGTGCAGCAACCCCTTCCCGCTAACAGTTCTTTCTTTCTGTCCTTACATCAGGGATCACCAACTTCCAGAAATCAATAACTTGTTGTCTACCGAAATACACATACAGGATTCAAAAACTAAGGTCTAACATGTCACAGAGTGACATGACAGACGTTTGCGATTTGTGGGCGTGGGCAAGCTTTGAAATAAACTTGCGCTGCGTAAGAATTAATATTCTAAATCTCTAGCTTTTATAATTTCCGAGATCTCGACCTTCATACGGACGGACAGGAGGACAACCGACAGACGGACAAGGCTAGATCGACTCGGCTATTGGTCCTGATCAAGAATATATATACTTCATAGGGTCGGACCACATCCTTTTACCTGATACATACTTTTCAACGAATACAGACATACATACATACATACTTTTCAACGAATACCCATTTGTTCTACGTCTAACGGGTATAAAAAGCAAAAATGTACTTTGAAAAACCAAAAAAATGAGCAAGAAACCACAAATAAAACCCAAACACAAATTAAGGAGACACTCTATTTATTTCAAAAAGCAGAGACATTTTCAAAAAAAAAATTTTAAATAATTTTAAAATCAGCAAACAAATTTTGGTTTATAGGCGCGAACACCTAATCTCTGCGCCATAGGGTAAGCTAAATCTTAACTAGAATCCAGCATTGGGGGTACAAAGGAAAATTCAGGTTCCTCCGCTGGAACCCTTTGGGGGTCGAGTACACAAGGCACTCGTGTCGAAAATGTTAATGACAAAACTGTAGGTTAAACACTCTTCAAGCGCAAACGTTACCGCACACGCATTCAGAAGGTGTAAACTGTCTGCGTAACAGACCGACAGCATACAAAATTTAATTCATTTGCGTCTTTGCAATGTCATTTTCTTTCTTTGAGATATGAATATAATGTTATAACAAAAAGTGTTTTAAATGACCTGTGCGATGGCCAGCACCGGAACCGCCTACGCTTATCGCTCAAGACCATCTGCAGCAGATATGAGTTCTGAACTCGTATTGGATTGCGCAGGATGCTTCTTATAAGTATTTTGAAGTCATTTTAATTGACCCTCATCATAGTGCTATTCGCCGTGATCCAAAAATCAACTGGATTTGCAAGCATGTCCACAAGCATCGCGAATTATATAAATAGAAAACGATAAATTGTAAACCTTTTTATTTATCGGTTAAATAAAACATTTCGTGCATCTACAATTTCTGTGCGCGGTAAGGACATGTATATTACGTGGAGCTTTATAAATAGCAAAGGGAAGGGCACTTAAATTTCTACAAAGTTCTTTAAAGAAAGGATTACAGTTGGCTTTGGTAACTTAACAGATCTGCTGCACCTCTCAAAGCATATTTCGAACAGCAATTAAACTATTCAGTATAAGCAGCCTCTCAAAACAGAAATAGTTTACGTACATACGAAAGTTAAGCGAGACTTAAACGTGACTTAAAGTGTTTTCCGATCCGAAAACGACAAGAAAACAAATATCTAGTCGCTCAGTTTGTGGCAGTGAAAGTTTCATTTTTGATAGCTCAAAAACGGATTTTTTGCGAGATATATTTTTGTAATATTTGTTTTTAAGACTCGTTTTTGCTTTCTCAGTGACGGCCCCGAAAAGTCACTTAAAAGTCTCTGTACTTATAAATAAATTTAAAGGAAAGGAAAACAACTATACTTTTCTTACGGACCAAGTCCAACCAAATGGCTTTTATTAGCTAACATTATTAACTTTAAAGTAAGCTCGATTATAAATAAAAATAAAAACATACCATAAACACAAAAAAGAAAAACCCAAATACATAGATAATACAGTTTTTGGATAGAGTTTTTAGAGATAGAGGGGAGAGAAATTTTTTGAATAGTTGCAAGGGTATATAAGCTTGGACTTGCCGAAGTTTGCTTCTTTTCATGTCTTGCCAAACGTAATTTGTTAAAACAAAATTAGTAGTGAACTATAGCCTAGTACTCAAATCGACGAAAACCGTTACACGCCTATGAGAGAGAGCGAGAGGCAAATTACCGGCGAACACTTTTCGACAGTACCTTTTTGCACGCCGGTACTCAGATCGACGGAAAAAATACTAGAAATGTGCAGAGCGTTGCCAGATGTCTGGGATGAACTTTCGATGAACGTTTGTCAGGCCCTGGCGAAATGAAGACAAAATTGTATCTTTGGTGTTCTTGGATTTGAACTTGCAAGCGAAATATAAGAAAAAACGACAAAAACACGAAAAAGCCGCGTGTCTGCCACCATTCTAATACCAAATTTAACTCTGGCGTCGTTTATATTCAACATCTTTGATTTTGCTTTTTAAAATTAATTTGTTTGTCAACAAGCTCAGCTGATTGACAGAATGACCGAAGCACACTAACTCGGGTGAATCTGAAAACTTTGGTCGAAATCTGAAAACCAGTGGCGTAGTTGAATGAGAAAGGGGGCTTGGGAGGTTAACGTTCTGGGAATGTTTTTGAAGGTACACGCCAATTTTAAAAGTGACTTCATAGTGTTTAAGAAAAGGCTCAAGCGCATCTTTCTTAAAATTGTGTTTTCAAAGTCGGTGACCAACGTAACTTAAAAACGGCTGAGCTTCTTAAATATATTTTGTCGTAATATAACGAAGATTTTTTTTCCGATAAGTAATTATTTTTAAGACGGCAATTTTGCTCAAAAGTTAATTTTTTCTTGGGTAAAAACTTTATTTTGCTTGTTCTTTCGACTAATTATTTGTTTGATATTTTAATGTCTGAGGACCCAATCCAAAGATATAGTGGTCACCTCCATACCCCTTTTTTGAGAGGAGCTCCCGGAGAGTAGATGTAGCTCCTTTCCAAATTATTATTTTTTTCAATACTCAGTCTTTAAATACAGTTAACACAACATGTGTAGAAAATATAGGATAAATAAATTTTGAAGTTTTTTCAGAAAAAGTTCCTAAAAATTAGCTTTGTTTGGCCTTCTAACTGTATATAACCCCTTTATAGAACACTAATAATTATAAATAAAAAAAACACAAAAACAAAGCAAAAAATAACACTATAGCTGGTTTTCCCGACTATTAGATACCCGTTACTAAAAGCCAGATTCCAGTGGCGCATTAAAACGCATTTGGCCTAATGCGCATTTCTTTACACATGGAATCCCATAAGGCCAAATGCGATTAAAACTCATTCCCCGAATAGTTTTATAAAAAATACCGGAAAATACCCATTTGTTCTACGTGTAACGGGTATAAAAAGCAAAAATTTACTTTGAAAAACCAAAAAAATGCGCAAGGAACCACAAATTAAACCCACACACAAATTAAGGAGACACTTTAACAAATTCAAAAAGCAGAGACATTATCAAAAAAAAAAATTTTAAATAATTTTAAAATCAGCAAACAAATTTTGGTTTATAGGCGTGAACCCCTAATCACTGCGCCATAGGGCAAGCTAAATCTTAACTAGAATCCAGCATTGGGGGTTCCAAGGAAAATTCATGTTCCTCCGCTGGAACCCTTTGGGGGTCGAGTACACACTGCACTCGTGTCGAAAATGTTGTTGACAAAACTGCAGGTTGAACACACTTCAAGCGCAAACGTTACCGCACACGCATTCAGAAGGTGTCAACTGTCTGCGTAACAGACCGACAGCATACATAATTTAATTGATTTGCGTCTTTGCTATGTCATTTTCTTTCTTTGAGATATGAATATAATGTTATAACGAACAGTGCTTTAAATAACCTGTGCGATGGCCAGCACCGGAACCGCCTACGCTTATCGATCAAGGCCATCTGCAGCAGAGATGAGTTCTGAACTCGTATTGGATTGCGCAGGATGCTTCTTATAAGTATTTTGAAGTCATTTTAATTGACCCTCATCATAGTGCTATTCGCCGTGATCCAAAAATCAACCCAAGCATCGCGAATTATAGCCACGGAGTCCCAGGGCGGAGTATCCCCTATGCCCTGCAGTCCGAGCAATCGATTCCGACTCATCGGACGTCTCACGTCACTAACTTGACGATTTACCATCTCTATCACAAATCAAAACAAAACAAAGTTATATTTACATCATACATAAGCTGCAACATAAGAAAGAAAATTGCCAATCATCCTCAACTAGTGGCGGTTGAAATCCATTACATACCCAGCCACACTGGCATACCCCAAAGCGATTTCGTGGACTTGGCTGCCAAAAACGCTCCTTCACACGGTATCTTCACTGTAGTGGGATGGAGCATAAAAGATGCCACAGCTGAAATACACAAATTAATACAGGAGGACTGGGACAAGGAGTACGCCGAATTCGCTAGTGGTAAACGAATTCCAACAACGCTAAACAAACCTTGGTTTAACAACTTGAACTGCAACCTCAGGCCTTCGGGTATAAAAATAATAAACAGATTAATCAGCGGTAACGCTTTGACAATTATACTTTAAACAAAATGCACGTGTTACGGAACTGCATCTTTCCCGGAGGGCAGCGCCGGCTAGCCACGGAGTCCCAGGGCGGAGTACCCCCTATGCCCTGCAGTCCGAACAATCGATTCCGATTCATCGGACGTCTCACGTCACTAACTTGACGATTTACCATCTCTACCGCAAATCAAAACAAAACAAAGTTATATTTACATCAAGAAAACTAAGACAATTCGACGAAATTGGTTGCTTCGATGTCCTTGCCACGACGCACCCACCCAACCTTGGGTGCCCCAAAAAGGATGTAGGAGGCACGCCCCATCTCCGGCAGACTGGAGTCTATTCCTGGTGGATTAGGATCGGCTCATCTCCCCGCCCAAGGTAATTCACACAACCATTTCGGTAGCTTGTTCACATTTAATTTTTGGCAAGATTAATAAGTAAATACATTCATTATTGATTCCTACTAATAATCTATTCTTTTCGTTAGAAACACTTAAGGTCGATCTCAGACCATCGCCCAGATGAGAAGCGGTCAAAGCGGCAACAACCGAAAGGGAAATTTTTAGACGCTTAAAGTTACAAGTGTCGCCGCATGGTACTAAATTGGAGGCGTTTGCCAACCGGGTTGCCTAATCCTGAGGAGCTCCAAGGGAAAAGAAGGGACGTGCTGAAAAGGTAAGTACGCTAAACAAATCCCACAAGTTATTAAATTTCGCGACCCAATTTAGATGTAGTTGGACGCGCGGCTAGGGTTCGGGCTTGAGCCTCTAATTTTAGATTAGATTTCACAGTGAGTACTTGACAATCTGGACTATGTGATATTACAAAAACAATAACTAAAACTTATTTATTGCAGAGTTCAACGTCGGATGTGGTTGAAACTGCAGCCAGAATGGAAAAATCGCTAGAAACGAAAACCAGCGCTAGTCCGCACGGAGCCAATTGGTCCGGAGGATAGCACAGCGTCCGCGTAAGAGGGGCCGGAGGCAGTGCGTCGGTGAACTTGGAGATGACCCCGTGGCCAGCGCGGGCGTTCGTTCCTGGAACGGACTCACCGAGGGAATCTCCGTATCTGGCCGTCTCGGAGGCAGTCGCTGTAGCTGCTGACGCTGGAGGCTGGTGCTGATCGCTGCTGCTGCTGCGGCTGATGCTGCTGCGGCTGATGCTGCTGCGGCTGATACTGCTGCGGCTGATGCTGCTGCGGCCAATGCTGCTGCGGCTAATGCTGCGGCGGCTAATGCTGCGGCGGCTAATGCTGCTGCGGCTGGTGGACGACGACCAGGTTAGGTCTGCCTGGTAAGTGTTCACTTCCCGAAACTTTTAAATTTCCGGGGCTCTTTAGATAGGGTCCTCGGTGGCGTTAATATTTAACAAAAAACACTGTTATTTATAAGTTTATTGCAAATAAATAATTTATCTAAAAACTAATAATGCACTTATGAACTTATTTTTCCACGACTGTTCTCCTTCGACTTATTGCAGCAACTAAAGCAAAACCCTGACCTACACCAAAGTCGTTCGCCATTTTCCCCCCGCTCTCTCAAGATGGGTCAGCGAACGTATTTAAGGCTATTTAACCCAGCTAACGAGCGAACCGGGCTAAATTTAAATAGCTAAATCCTCTCCCGCTATCAATAGTAGGTGTCACCACCGAATCTTATCGATAGCGGGACCTGCTGACGTATCGGTTCGTTTTAGTATTTTCCAGACGGCTTCAACTGAAAATGCAACACCACCCTGGATTCCGAGAGACGCCAACACAAAGTTTTAGACAAGCGCAAGAATACTTGGGAGCATTTGGATTTGGACTATTCGGATTCAGCCGGCCTCGATACCAAGATGCAGTTCCAAAGGTGTCCAACGCGGGGCCCACGCTTTACGGGAAGTAGACACATGCCGATTCTGAGCTCGTGTACTTTGTTATTCCTCTTTCCAGATCACAACCTAATGTCCTTGGCATGGTACACTCCGATCGATCGTCCTTGAAGATCTTCAAGCTCGTACGCATTATTGCCGACTGTCTTGACCACCCGAGCTTTTAGGATCTTCCGAGCAAACTTTGCATTGAAGGCCTTTTTGAAATCGCTGGGGGCAAAGTTGCGGCGATACACTTCCTGACCTGGCTTCGCAAGGAAAGTACGAGCCCTTTTGTCGTACCGCAGGCGACTCCGATCGTATGCATCTTCGAGGTTCTTCTGCACCTTGTCATGGATCACTTGGAGTTTATCAGATGTTCTCATCCCAGACATTTCGTGATCACACAGCGACTTCAACTTCCTTGCCAACTTGTAGCTGGCTCCAGAGTTTTTCCCATTCCGCCATGAGCTGCCGTTGGATCCGAATGTGCACGCACAATTATGCTGTAGGTCAGACTCTGGGGAATCCACAACTTCCATTCGAAGCCTTCCACCTCGTCATCCAGATTTGCCGAAGAGACTCTCTTGAAGATGAAACCATCCACTATCCTCAAGTCAGGTAGGTTGGCCAAGTTTTTTTCCACTTCTTGTAACAACTCCGTGTACTCTTCTCCAGCAAACTCAGTGGTCTCGAAGCCGAGCAACTCTGACGGGTCCACCGTTAGCTCTTCAACACAACGCGAAAGGGTATCTGCCACAACGTTCTCGCTTCCTTTCCTGTGTTCGATGTTGAAGTCATATCCCTGGAGTTGCAATGACCACCGAGCCAGCCGACCCGAAAGGTCTTTCATGGACATGAGCCACTTCAAGCTGGCATGATCGGTGATGCACGTGAACGGCATTCCTTCCACATACGGCCGGAACTTTCGAATGGCCAGCAGGGCTGCGAGGCATTCTTTTTCAGTGACGGTGTAGTGGACTTGGTGACAATTCATCTTGGCCGAGAAGAACCCTATTGGTTGCTCCTGGCCGTCTTCATCCCGCTGGAACAATACTGCACCGACTCCGATCTGGGATGCATCGCACTGGATGAAAAAGTGCCGCTTGAAGTCCGCATGTACCAGCACTGGCGCAGTAGTTAGGGCCATCTTCAGGGACTCTACTGCCAGCTGTGCTTCTGGACTCAAGGAAAACTTCTTATTTACCTTCTTCTTCAAGGATTCCGTGAGCGGGGCAGCCAAAGTTGCGAAGTTCTTTATGAACCGACGGTACCAACCAGCGGTCCCAAGAAAGGCTCTCACTTCCTTCATGGTCCTTGGCTCAGGCATCCGCCTAATAGCCGCCCTGGATCCATCCGCAGACGTCCTCCACCCCTTATGAAGCCGAGGTAGGTCAAAGACTTGAAGCAAAACTTCGACTTGCTCAGCCCAATGGTTAACCCTGCTTCTTTCAGGCATTCAGCGACTCGGCGAAGATACTTCAAGTGCGTTCTTATGTCTGGCGCTAGTATTAGCAGATCATCCAAGTAGACGAACACATTCGAGCGGATTTCAGCTGGAATTACTCGGTCCATGAGTCTCACCAGCCTCTGTGATGCGTTACAGAGTCCGAAAGGCATCACACGGAACTGGTAAGAGGCCGACCAGGAACCGTAAAGGTTCTGCCAAAAAGCGAACTTCAAATCCACGCTGGAAATGTAGTACGTTTGTCCAATTCTGGACAGGATGTCGTCTATGCTGGGCAACGGGTAAGCATCTTTGATGGTCACATCATTAAGCTTACGTGCGTCTAAGCAGAACCGGTGTTTTCCAGATCTTGATACTACGGTGGTGCGGTTGCTCCAGGGGCTTTTGCTCTCCTCGATGACTCCGAGCGCTAGCATCTTGTCGAACTCGTCCTCGACCACCTTCTGCTTCGCGGGAGACATCGGATAGGGTCGATCCTTGAACACTTTGGCTCCGTCCATCAGCTCAATAGTGTGCTTCTCCAGACTGGTGGTACCTAAGCCATCCCTCTCGAAAGTCAAGAACTGCTGCTTGATCTCCTCCAGCTCTTGTTCCTCGGCCTTGGAAAGCGTCCAGGATTCGGGATCGGTTTTCTCCTCATCGTCATCCTCGACCTCCGCGTAGTGTTTCATCTCCCTGGCGTGTAATTCTTCGCCCTTCTTCACGCCTTCCGGATCGATGGGGCCTATAATCGCTGGGGCCAGTCCGAATGCTTGCCAAAAATCCACTCCAAAATAAGCTGGCTGCTCCAGGTAAAGACACAAGTAGAAGAGAATGTGCTCTGTCCGTCCTCGGTATTCCACCGGTAACTTGACCCGTCCGATAATTGACCGATCCTCTCCAGAGGCCGTACGGACTGCGGATAGGTACTTCTGGACGGGCACATCCAAGGCTTCGACTAATTCTCTGCCACCTTTTCCAAGCAGACTCACACTCGCTCCAGTGTCCAACAACCCCGTCAGTTGCTTGGTCAGGACTCGGACTGCGGCGAACGGTCTGGGATCTCGCGATAAACTCCGCTTCACGGCGGCCACTGCTTCGCGTCGGCAGTTCCGACGTTTGCGAAATCGGTCCCTGGCCTTCTGCACCTTGCGAGACACCATACGCATCCCGCCTAACTGGTGCTCCGAGAAGCTTCTGTTCCTGGTCTCTAGATACCGCCGCATCCTCTCCGCATAAGGTAAGTATCGTAATGCAAACTTATTACTATTTTTAGAAGGTAAATATTTATCTAACCCTACCAGCTCTTCTTCTCTGCGGAACTCCTGTCTGGACGCATCCTCTCCGCCCTCGGATCGCCCAGCCGACCGTTTTCCGCACAATCCGGACATTTGGGAGACACGGTGTCGGGCTTCCCACATCGGTAGCAGAACAGTCTGCGTTCTGTTGCTGCGCAGTCACGGAACCCGTGATCCACGGCTCCGAAATTCCAGCAGCCGGCTCGGAACGGATTCTTCGCCCGCACTTCGTCCACCTCGTGCCACGGAGAATCCTCGCCAGGCTCTGGGCCAATAGCCTCGCTAACCTTGGCCTTCTCCGCCGGAGGATACCGAATCGGCTGCGTGTACGTGGTCCGTCCACGTCGTCCAAAACTGCGTTCCACCTCGCAGCACTCTTCCCGCAGTTCATCCACCGTAAGCACATCCATCGCGTAGACAAACCTTGCGATGCTCTCCCTCAAGCCCTTTTTAATAATCGTCACCAGCTGTCGCTCTGACAGTGGCCTTTTCAGTCGAGCCGCCAACTGCTGCATCGCGTGGACGTAATCGCCAACTCCCTCTCCGGGCTGCTGCTCCCTCTGCAGAAGTTGGTGCATCCGATCGTGCTCCGACTGATGGCATCGGAACCTATCCATCAGCGAGGCTCGAAGCTGGGACCACCTGTCCACCCTGCAGTGACCAGCAGTACCACTCCCGAGCCCGTCCAGTGAGCAGCAGGTGGAAGTTTCGGAGCACCTCTTGCCACGGGCATTGGCACTGCCGCTGCAGGAACTCCAACCGGAAGATAAAATCTTCCACCGAGTTTCGCTCATCCTCCCCGTCGAAGGATACGCCCCACCGCTCAATTCGCCATTGCTGGTTGGCGGCTGCCGACCCCACATTGGCATACAGTCGCGGCTCCTCCCGGAACTCTGAGACCCTGCGGTCCTCAACGCACCAGCTGCGGGCCGGGCCATCGTCTCGGCGCGACCTGCCATGATCCAGAGGATACCCGGGACTGCTTCTTTCCAACTCCTGGAAATCCAGCGGCCTCCTCGTCGGTCGGTGGCACCCTCGGCGGAGGTAGCCTGGAACCGTCCCTGCCGGCGACCTGTGTGCTCTTCGGCACCGCACCTTGCGGGGCTTGACCAGGGATTCCCGCGTTGATCCTTGAATCCGGAAGCCTTCGCTCATCCGGCATGCTCTCCAGGGGAAGCTGAGGCCGCTGAGCAGCAGGCCTTAACACCTCGTTCATCAGCTTCATCATCTCCAGGAAGCCACTTCGGATCTCGTCCCTCAGTGCCTGATTGATCCCGCCTTCTTGGGCCTTCCGATGGGTCTCCGCCGCCTGTGCCAAAGCCACATTAACGGCCGACCTTGCCGCGGAATCCACAAAAGGGTCGTGGATTCTTGCGTCCTAATCGTCCAGCTGCAATAACTCATCCGCCGCGGAACCAATTCCCACCAGGATCTGCTGCTGCCTTAGGTCCTGCTGCAGCTCTGTGTCCTGTGGTCCTTTTTGCTATTGTTGCAGTCCCTGGCGCAAACGGGCAAGCGGAGTCCTGGGCAACCCTTCCGATATGCGCGGCAAGCCAGCCTCGGTAGCGCCCTCCACATCCGTGGACCACATCTTTTCGTCGTCCTCGCCTGGAAAATCCTTCGATCGAAGCAGGTGATCATGCTTGCTGCCTTGTCGCTTTGACATCCTGAATTTTGATAACCCCTAACACGACTTCTGAACCCCGAATTCAATGTACCAACCAAAAACCCAAATTATGTATAAATAAATAAATTGTGCTGCATGCTAGTAAGTGATAAATAATAAATAAATACGAATACTTATATTACCAGGCCAATAAATAATAATAATGAATAAATAGAACTAATAAACAATGAATAAATAAGAAATAAATAAGAAAATATATTAACGACCAACAAATACCTAAGGCTAAACAAATACACACCAATAATTAGCTCCTATCAAAAAACAAGTCCCTCAAGACTAAAGTTCTTTCCCTATTTTTTTTTTTTTCCAGCCTCAATAAGGGGAGATGGAGCCGATCACCAGCCGGTAGACTCCGCGCCAGTCGTCTTGCGTCTACAATTTCGTCCGAATTTTCACTAAACAAGCCGCTCGTCAACTGAACTAACTTTCAGCTGTGCTGAAAGTCGCCAGTTAAGGACTTCGGCTGTTTGCAGGATCGCATAGGATTTCCTTTTGGCCTTTGCGTTTTTCATTCAAGTCGCGGTGGCCGAGCAGCGCGTGACGACGTCACGGGTCACGACCACACATTTAAGTTTTAAACCGATATGACATGAAAACGCAAATACCCAGAAAACCCAAGGATCTGCACAAAACAAACAACTACACTGTAACCCCAAAACAAAACATTCATTAAAATTACGTTAACAAAAAAATATGTCCCTAATACCTATATCACAGTTTTATCACAGTTTTTGGTTTAACCTTTCGTGCTTATTGCACGGACGACCTGGAATGCGAATCCTTCGATTTCCTTCGAAGAGGATGTCACCGCCAAATCACAGCTAATCCCTGTGAACTGTGCCTCGGGAGCAATTGTCCTACCTCTAGTGGACAGCCTCCCTTTCTTCCTACAAAATTTAAACAACTTTTCTCCACCAGTCCGCGTCCCGGTGCAATTGCATGTGTGTCATGCAAGCCACCGTTCGGGGGCTGGCTGGAGATATAAATATGCGAGACGCCGTCGACTCGGCTATCACATGTTTGATTTGTTAATTTGGGCGCCATATTGTTACGGAACTGCATCTCTACCGGAGGGCAGCGCCGGCTAGCCACGGAGTCCCAGGGCGGAGTACCCCCTATGCCCTGCAGTTCGAACAATCGATTCCGACTCATCGGACGTCTCACGTCACTAACTTGACGATTTACCATCTCTACCACAAATCAAAGCAAAACAAAGTTATATTTACATCAAGAAAACTAAGACACTCGCGTTTCAGCCGTCAGTGGTGAAGGTTGTGCGCTCTTGACTCAAAGCCGTGTGAATTTGTTTGGCCGCCAAATTTTTGACAGTTTTTTTTTCCAAGAACGCTTGGATTTCCAGGAAGCTCGCGCTTTCGTTGGAAGAGCCAACGCGCCTAAAATTCCTTTGAAATGGGATTGATAAAGAAAAACGAAAAGCCACCACCATGTGGTACCATCCCGAAAGTCAAACCAACTTATGTCGCATCAACTATTGCTACAAGGAGCAAAGGACCTCAGGATTTAAAGAAAATCGTGAAAACCGCCCCAAAAATGGAAACTATAAAGGAACAGAAGATTGGAAAAAAACCGGGTGTAAGCCCAAAGCAAACTGTAAGTTCAACAAAAAGTTTTTCTCAGAACTGCTACGACGAAAATCATAAAGGACCGTTCGTGGTCTGTATAGACAAGCTAAGCATTACTGCAGAAAGGAAAGCCATTAATCAATTCCAATTGTCGGCTTCTTTGGAAAAGTTAAAAATTGGCGGGATTGAGGAAGTCGCCAGAATCGGTTATGGGAGGTGCAAGATCACGTGTGGTTCGGCCGTTTCAGCGAACAATCTAGCAAGCTGTAACGAGTTAGAAGGAGAGGGTTATATTCCGAAGATTTTTAAGCATTTCACAAGCAGGACAGGCATAATATTTAATATTCCATCCAATCTAAAAAATGAAGAGCTCTTAGATCTCCTTAGCTCACAGATTCCTATTTTAGATGTTTGCAGAATTATGAAAAAGGATAAAAACAACAAGAATGAACTTGTTCCCACAGGAAGGGTCAAAATAACTTTTGATGGGCAGCAACTACCAAAGGAGATTAAATTCTTGTACTCAAAGGTGGAGGTTCAGCCGTATGTGTATTTCGTGCAGTGTTTCAGGTGTTTCCGATTTGGACATACTGCAAAGCATTGCAAGGGACAGAAGAAATGTTTCAAGTGCGGTTCTGTGCACAAAGAAGAAGCATGCACAAAAGTTGAGTGCGCTAATTGCAAGGAAAGCCACGTGGCTACATCGCCATCTTGTTCAGCCAGAAAGAAAGCGTATGCCATTCAGAAAACTAGGACTTTAGAAAACCTAACTATACAAGAGACGCGTAAGAAATACCCATCCCTATTTCGCAGAGGAGCGCCTGCAATGGAAGATCAGTTATCTTTCCCAACGCCATCATGGCAAACTAATCAGGCAAACAGTACTCTTAATTCATCAGCTGAATCAGCCAAGGGTATTCATTCTATAAACTCATATGACAGTACAACCAAAGGGAACGGGATGAACAATCTGAGTTCCATTTCTCAGACTTGTTCCAATGTAGCTCAGGACAAACTAAATGCGTTATGCAAGAAAATCACGGAGTTTATTGGTAACACAGGAAATGAAGTAGGTACAAACACAATAGTTATAAAATTTCTAACTGAGATCAGAGACTTCGTGAACAAAAGCAACGCGGATTTGGATGCACTTCAGATTGCCAGTTCCTTTGAATCTCACCATCAAACTGTAATACCATAATGAAAATTCTTCAAATCAATATTCAAAGCCTGAACAAACTTAACAACAAGCACTTACTTAATATGTATCTAATAAATAACAACGTTGACATAGCTTTACTCTCAGAAATCTGGGTTAAGGATAATACCGATTGTAGTATCCCAGATTTCAAATTTCACTGCAAACCAAGAGATGACGGCTATGGCGGCGTTGGGATTTATATCCGCAACAACATCAAGTTTAGAATTCTAAAATCTTTTGATCTAATAGAAAACATTGGCGTTCAAACTCTTAACCTTAAGAGGAATGTTAATGTTTTTAGCCTATATATCCCCCCAACCACCACAGTATCCGATCTGAAACAGGGTCTTAAAAACATTTTTAACTACGCTTCTACATTGGCCAACCCCACCATTATTGGTGGTGACTTCAATGCGAAGTCAACAACATGGGGCAGCCTGACCAGTGATGCCAAGGGTCACACTTTGGAAAGAGTATCCCTTGATGCTGGTTTTGTTTGCCTAAATGATGGTTCGCCAACCTTTTCGCTCAGTCCTGTTCAGTTCTCGGTACTAGATCTCACCTTTTGCAATAGAAGGGACTTAAATATTTCATGGAGTTCCTCCAAAGTTAAAATTACCAACAGCAATCATTTCCCGATCGAAATGGTTATTAACAATGTCAGTACTGAAGTAAATACTTTTAAAATTCTCCACGACAAAGTGGCAATTGATCTCGAAAACACCAACTTTACCAGCATAGAAGCTATAACCAAGTCATTAGAAGCGTCAATCAAGTCAAACACTGTTAAAATAACAGGAAGAAATAACTACGAACCCAAAAAATGGTGGTGTAAGGAAGCTGAAAAACTTTTTCGTCTAAGAAATGCTGCTAGGCAGAAATTCTACCGCTCCAAAAAGTTTGAAGACGCCCGAAAAACCCTAGAGGCAGAAAAGGCACTTCAAAACTATATAAGTAACAAAAGAAAATCCAATTTTCAATCATTTGTTAATGAAATCTCGGAAAGCCCAAACATCTGGAATAGTATTAAAAATCTTAAAAAATATAAACAGATAAAACGAACTGGCAACACTTGGTCTGAAGAAGAAGACGAACAGTTTTTACATGCAATTAAAAATACACCATCTACAATAGGAGTCTCTCCCAACCCTAACAGGCATCAGCTATTCCATGTCC